ATTCTCTTTCATATCCCAGGTACTGCACAGCCCATTCTCTTTCATATCCCAGGTACTGCACAACCCATTCTCTTTCACATTCTAGGTACTGCATAATGCATTCCCTTTCATATCCCAGGTACTGCACAACCCATTCTCTTTCATATCCCAGTTACTGCACAACCCATTCTCTTTCATATCTCAGGTACTGCACAACCCATTTCTTTTCATATTCTGGGTACTGTACACTTCATTCCCTTTCATATCCCAGGTACTGCACAACCCATTCTCTTTCATATCTCAGTTACTGTGCAACCCATTCTCTTTCATATCCCAGGTACTGCACAAGCCATTCTCTTTCATATCTCAGGTACTGCACAACCCATTCTCTTCCACATCCCAGAAACTGCACAACCCATTCCCTTTCATATCCTAGTTACTGCACAACCCATTCTATTCCACATCCCAGGAACAGCACAACCCATTCCCTGTCATATCCCAGTTACTACACAACCCATTCCCTTCTGTATCATTGTTACTGCACAACCCATTCCCTTTCATATTCAAGGTACAGTACAATATATTCCCTTTCATATCTCAGGTACTGCAAACGCATTCCCTTCTGTATTCTAATTACTGCACAACCCATCCCCTTTCATATCCAAGTTACCACTCAACCCATTCCTTTCTGTAGCCCAGTTACTGCACAACCCATTCCCTTTCATATCTCAGGTACTGCACAGTACATAAAATGTTTTTCTTCTTCAGATTTCCAGTTTAAATTCAAAGAATCAGGTGAAATTGAAAGCAGTAATTGGGCAATAAATCTCCATAAATCATAAGGAATCCAGAGAATCAAATTGTTACAAAATATTAAAACAGGTTTCCAATTTTAATTAGAAAATCCTAGCTTACAGAACTCATTTAAACCTATAATTTTGTGCATACACAAAGGCATACGAGAGCAAAAATTTGCTAGATATAAAATTTTAATACCAGGAAACCATCTTTACTAAATTTGCAGACAATTTATATCGTAAATTGAATTTCTAAATACTCCAACCATTTTTTTTTTTTCAATATAGTGAAATCAGAACAAGGGACACATTTTCAAGCAGTCAATTAAAATACAAGAATATATTGAGCGAAGCTAACAGTCAGCATGTGGTCGTCTCCCTTCCAATGGTATTCTAATTTTTTTTCTTGACGCAGCGGGGACACTCAGTACATATCATTGGAACAAAATGTTAATTTCCTCTGTGACATTATTACATACGTCTAACTAGTCTAAATAGCATGATACATTTTATATGCTATATGCACACAAATCAATCAATTTATAATTTAGAAACAGAAAACATTACATATGCAGATACTCGTTCATATATCCCCCCCCCCATCTATTCAGTTACATTTCTTTATTATCAGTACTTACATGTTTTTTTAATGCAACAATTGCTTTGTTGTGTGTTTTTGATCAGTTTTCAACTGCAGAACCCCAATATAATAAATAATTCATATTAATATTATTATTATTTATTAAGTTTGTTATTCTCATTTTCAACATTATTTCACATTTTACAACCATTATACTCTTCTCCCTCAACTATTTTTTTTTCAAATGCGAACCATAAAATAAAACATAGTTGAACTCTGGTGACCTTGCCCTTTGTTATATGATATAATTCCCTTTATCATAGTTTGTTTCAATATAAATATGCATTGTCATAATTAATTTTGAATACAAACGAGTTTTGGGGTTGAACCAACAGTGGGGAATCAGTCTACCGAATGTCCTTAAAAGATGTAAATATCTTACAAAAACATTGGTGCCTTATTTGTTTAATTATTTTAAGGAACATAATTTCCAGCTTTGATGAAAGTAATTGAGATATTTTAGAATAAAAACAAATGTCTCATTGCAAAAAAAAGTGCTGCATTTAGATGTGAATAGATTCATAAAACATGCAAGATAACAGAAAAATTTAGCTGGCTTTAGTTCAAGTATTTTGTACAGGTGTCTGTCAAAAATGAATGATTCACTGAGACAAATATGAACTGCCTCATTGTGTGACTACTGTATTATATGAAAGTAAAAAAACACCCTTTATGAATAGCTATCTTGTTGCAAGCTCTGCTTTGTATGCAAATCAACTTAAATAGTTGGTGTCCAGTGGAGGGAGAAGTCAACAGTACTGTTGCCTCCTGAGAAACTACATCTTCAAACACTGCAATCTCTGAAGTGCGTTTTTAAACTAGTATA